AAACTTCCCTAGCTCATTAACTCAAAACTTTCCCTCCACAAATCCCTCATTTCAAATTCAAAACATTTTGAATTTTGAAATCTTTCCTAAATTAGCGAATCTATTTTAGGAAAGTTTCTTAAGTTAACAATATTTGAATTCAAAGTCAAATAGAGTTACTTAAATAACTTCCTAAGTTTATACCATTTTAAGCCAGGTGGACACATGGCACCCATTACCCCCTCATTAAATTTCTTTTGAAATTATTTCCTAAAACCTGATCTAGCTTTAGGAAATAATTCAAAATTCCCCAATCCCTCATAACCGAAATTTCCACTTACCTTGTCCAGCTAATCTCTTCCCTAATCCAAGGAAAATAATTAGGGAATTCAAATCCCCTCCCAAACCACATCCCGCTGCCGCCCTCTCTCCTTCCAGCCATGCCGCCTCCTCTTTCAAATCCTCTCCTTTTCAAGTGAAATTGCTGTGTAATTCGGTGCTCCAATTTTCAATTCATTACTAATTAGAATATGAGATCTTCTCTCAAATTTCTGGACAGAAAATCTGAAACAAATTTTCAGATTGTTAGAAAGAGGCTTGAGGCTATTCTCTTATCTCTTTGCTAGAGAAATTTGGACATAAAATCTGAAAGTGTTTCAGTTTTCCTGAACATAAAATTTGTATTTTCGGAACTGAATTCTGAAATAAATCCCAGAGTTTCCTCTCTCTCCCACCCGTCTCCCTCCTCTTTCCATAAAAGCTCCTCTCTCTCACGGCATATCTTTGCTGGACTAAAGGCTAAAACTCCTCCTTTAATTCTTTCTTCCCAGCACCTGAAGTTGGAATGCTCTTCTGAAGTCAGAGAACAAATCTGAAATTTTCAGATTTCCTGAAGGAAATTTCCTTCAGATTTTGGAGAGGAGATCCTCTCCGTAGCAAAGCCGGCATCTCCGTTCTACATCACAAAGTTTCTAATATGCAAATTACAAATGTGTATATATCATATTAATTTAAAATCTACACGTCTACCATAAATGATTATTGCTAGAATAAAAATAAATATTCTTAGAAATAAAAGCCGCCAAAATATGCCACTACTAGACCTTTTGTCACAGAACACAATCATTATTTTTAGTATTAATTTTGCGATCTCATAATCAATCTAAAACATCCGTATTGACAGTTTAAGATCAATTTCAACTAAAATATTTAAGTGACCGATCCGTACTTGTTGTTTTCTCAAGCTCACCGGTCAACTTTACTGTGGTTCTTAAGAAATACTAAGAAAATCATCTATGAGGCTCCTAACAATTTACATTAACCCCACCTCATTGTACTTTTATTATAGATAACATATAAGCTTTCTAGTGGCCTACATTAAAAAAAAAAAAGAGAAAATGATGCCCAAAGATGTTCCATGCTTTGGGGCCATTTAGTTCCACTTGTTTTAAGTAGATTTTAACTAAGCGTTCATCTATAATCCACCAAAAAAATTGTACAAGGTATTTAAAATCCACATTTTAAAATATGGTTTTTATAGGTTTTATAAAAATATAGGCTCAAATCTAGTATTATCAAATCCAATACCCAACAAGTTATGCAGAATTTTATGTTGCCTTCGCCCCTTGCTTCTCTGCTTCTTATACCTCTCTCTTCTCAGCCCTTCACGATCTCCATTATCTCTCTCTCTACATCTCAAGGCCCTCATTTCCTACTCATTAAATCATCCTCCCTGATGATAATAATTCCCACTTAGTCTCGTTTGGGATCATTTTGTATTCACAACTATTGTTGATCTCAATAATCAGGAGATCTTTTTTCCTTTTTTTAGGAAAAATTATGTATCTTGAAATTTTTTTCCATTTAAAAGTGGATCTTTGCAAGTCGATGTTTTATGAATTGGATCATTTGTAATTTTTTCTAAAATACTAGTACATTTTTATCATAGGAAATTGTATTTTTTATGAATGTTGATAAAAAAGGGGCTACTAGTGAAATCAAGCATAATATGTAGATTTCTGTTCATCATAATTCAAAGAATTTCAGATATGCTAGCCAGTTTAATTTTTTCATGAATGTGAGTTGAGAAGTTCAAATAACTAACTTGACGAATAATGTTGAAGCAATATTTAAAAAAAAAACTTTTTTCTCCAGCTACGATTGTGTATATATGGCTTCCAATCAATTGAAACTTGTTTAGGTAAATACAAGCTTGCATTTGGTACTTCCTTGATTTTGAGATGCTCTTTATACGTCAGCTATTAAATCAATATAGTTTAAGATCCCTGATGAAATTGTAACCCTTGGTTGCATTTCATTGTCATTGTGACAAGCTCTGTTGCAATTTGATTTAGTTAAGGTTTTGAATCCTTTCCTTCTTCTCATTTTGGATGGCCACTTCTTCCCCTAACCCTTCTTCTTCAGCTTCCTTTGAGAAGAAGATAAGAAACAACAACAAAGGTTCAATTTACAAATGAAGGGGAGGCAACCAATGATTAATAGGAGTTAAATCATCTTAGTTTAAAAAATGATGATGAGAAACTAAGAGAATGTCAGAGTGACTATGATTCCACCAATAAACATGTTGGGAGAGTTACTTATCACTTCCCAGGTCATAACCAATCAGGAGTTCAAATCTCAGTTCTTGCTTTTGCAAATTTCGTTTAATCTTATCTCCCTCATTTATTAGTGAATTCTATAGGTGTAGGATTAATATTGACAAGTCATGAAAATTTTCCAAAATCATGTATGTTTGACTTTGAAGATGGATGTGTACATGTATAACTTAAGTCATCATATTAGATTGCCAAATATGAGGTTCTAATAATAGGAGTTTGAGATGAAAATAGCAATGAGAAAGAATTTAACTTACAGTTCTAAAGAAGAAATGTTGTGGACTCATAAGTTGCAAGAAAAACATAATGTTATAATTAGAGAGATTATAAAAGAGCAATATCTACTAGAAAACAATCCCAATGGTGCTCCAAGGAAATAGAAGTGGCAATAAACATAAGCTCCTCACACCTTCTAGGAGTTACCATTACCATCCGAGTGAATATCTTAATAGGGAGAGGTGTACATACAATAATGCGCAAGATAAGAAATCATCATCATGCTCAACTTAAAAATGTTGCAGAGAGGACATTCAAAATCTAGAAGGAAATGGCTTAAGTGCTAACACTTATGCGAGAGTTTTCATTGCAAGTCTACACAAATATTGTTATTTCTTATGTAATCTTACATAAATTCTTAGATCAATACCATGACAACAATATGTATTTCAATATGGCACAATCAAAGATGGGGCACAATCACAACCAGGGCATATAAGTTGTTGACGCAAATGATGAAGACTCTAACTTACAAGCAAGAATTGCAAAACATTGCTACATATAATCTCAACAACTATTTAGGTCAAAACTATAACTTATCAATATATAGTCAATTACGAAAAATATTCACTCCTTTAATTATTAATTATTAAAATAGCAAACAATCAACAACATCCTCATCATTTAAGGTGAATGACAAACTCATGATTGAGGAAACTATTACCCTATATAATCTCAACAACTACTTGGGTCACAACTATAAGTTATCAATGTATAATCAATTAAAAAATACAACAAAATGTTCATACCTTTAACTATTAACTATTATCATTGCAAACAATTTCAATGAAAACAAAATCCTCAACAATCAAGGTGAGTGGTAAACAGTATGATTGAGGCTTATGGTGTGGATAATAAGTTCAGAATACATTTTTAACTTAATAAATTTTTGGTGGCACATGTTTATAGCTTAAAAGAATGTTTATTGCATTATTATTTTTTAATGCTTGACAATACTATACATTTTTTTACCTAATACCTTTATTTATTTGTAAAGCAAAATTTATTATGCACTAACCTTACATTAAAGCTAAATCTTCATGATCTTAAAGGTAATATATAATAAATTACATTTGTGGGGTGGCGGTCAAGAATGGCTTTGAGGGATCATTGTACCAACATGTCTGCTCATCAAAAGAGGCTCATAGGCTGGTTAAGGTTAATCAATCGTCATATAGTAGCCAACAAGTTGACATCCATGAGAAAACTAGGAGAAGGGGGTTTATGTCATGTCTCAATTGTTCCCTATATTCTTTTTGTTATAGTTTTGGTACTTCTTTTATGTTTGGATATCTCACATATTCAATGTGGTCATTTGTTTTTTAATAATATTATTAACTGAATACTTTTGATGATACTATGTAGATATTGCTATAATTTAATGTTGCTTTAATTAATTATGATGATATACAATGTTTATATAATTATCCTTGTTATATTTTGAATTACAATCATGAATATAATTTTTTTAGTTTTAGTCTGCTAACAAATACGTAACACACAAAATGAAATTTAAAGACAATCTTGTAATGTTGTTGTGGAATCACATATAATGGAGATTTCATTAATTTGGTTGTTTGTAACTCACAAAATCATCCAAATCTCATTAAATTCTCAAAATTTTCAAACAACAACCAATCTCTATCTTCATATCTTTCAAACAAGAATTAAACAACCCAAGGATTTATTTAAATTTATGAACTGGGTAATAAAGTAGCTCCCACGTTTTATGCCTCCATTGTTTACTAAATTCTACTTTAATAGGATTTAATAAAATTCATTTTGAACTAAGCAAGCCCTTAGTCTGATGATCAATTATTATTTGCGAACAACATTTGTAGATTTACATGCTGACAATAAGAGTACATAGCTACTTACTCCAATTAGATAAGTGCATAGCAAGTACACAACAATATAAAACTTTGTATGGAAATTAAATAAATTTTTTTCGAAAAAAAGGAATTAAATAAAAAAAACACAATGAGTACATAGCTGTACACAATTGCGTAGTCCTACAATCAACACATAGAGCTATGCACATTATCTACATGTGATAATTTCTCGAGTTTGATTGCATATATTAACTCATTATCAGAACAACCAAAAGAAAAGAACAGAACATTCATTAACCTTGGCATTCTCTCCAAACTCTCGCTTAAAGATTCCGATTGTCCCAGGACCACAGACATCATGAGTCATCAGGACATCCACATTCACCCATACATTTTCCCCGGGTTCCAGCTGCGACCTCTCCGAAGCCCTGGCTAGAATCTTCTCAGTCATCGTCATTGCGTGCTTCACCTGCAGATTAACAAAGAGGCAAGAGAAAATTCACGATTTTAGCCGCAAAAAATAAACTGAAAGAAAAAATGAAAGATTTAGGTGAGTAAAAGAAAGAAATCAAACCGAGCCTGTGGTCGATGGAGGGCGCTGAGGAGTTCGGGAAGGTGCCATGACTGCGAGGATTTTATTCAAAGAGTGTTTCCTGCATCTATGCGCAACTAACGGAGGAGGGGAAGAGGAGATTGAACCGCCCAATTCGCACTGAAAAAGAAGAAGAAGAAAGTTATCAGTTGCTCGGTTTGAGTTATTGGACGAGGAGGTACAAAGATAGGGCGGCAATATCAAACCTTTTTACTAAAAACTGCAGATCTGGTGGCCGTGAGGGGCGAAGCCGCCATTGGAGAACGCACCCGGCTTGTCTGGGAGTTATTACTCGGTCAAAGGTTTAAGCTTTTGCCGTGCAAAGAAGACGAAGATCGCATGCCGACCAGAAGCCAGTATTTTTTTTAAGAAAACCTGTAGCTATTCGTGGTGGAGAGCTCCTAGCTGAGTTCACGGATTAACTATTCTGTGCTTAAACCAAAACATCCATGAGAAGGTGACACGTCATCTTTTTATTTGATATTATAGCTCATTATTATTCAGTACCGTGGCTCGATATTATCGATGTGGCGCATTTTGATTAATCTCGGAACTGCATTTTGTGTTCAGCCTCCGCCCAATATAATTTCTCAATTTCACGGCGGTTGAAAATTCGAAATGAGTCGACCTAAAGAGAGACCCAACCCGACGGCTATGGAATGTTTAGCCTTATTGGAACCTTAATGAAAGGCAGAGCAATGTCACATGTTATATATTCATGCTTTGAATATTTTGTTATAGGTAAAAATTATTCCTTTTTCATGTTTACTATTAAATTATTTATCCAATTTTTTTACTGAATTTATAAATTTTCCTAAAAATTTTCTCATTTATCCTCACATAGTTGAATAAAGATTTGATGATGTTGTTGTATAGTAACAATAGCAAACACAATATATTGGATCCAATATGTATGTGGGTTTCACTCTACTTTACTAGCTGGCCATACCAGGTGAGTTAATGACCTAGAACTTGTGTGAGAATGAGGAGTGGAGAATATAGCTAGAGAGAAAGGTAGAATTTATTGAATGCTCAATAAAATTAAAAATCTCATACTATAGCAAGATCCAACCATCAAAAAACACAATCTGCTGTCTCTTACCACATCGGGCACACTCCAGCACACTCCCCACATTGGACTCAAATGCAAGTCCTCTCATGTTGACTGAAAATCTACCCCTCTTTTCACTGCTCTCCCTCCAAGTTATGCCATCTTTTGATCTCATCTTGCTTATAGGTTGTCTAAACAGTGGAATAGCCAAGTCATTCTCCACTAGTCTCACTCTCTCAACTAGCTTCAAAAACTCTTAAATTCTCAGCATTATAAGTGGATGCCTCAGATCATCTCATAGTCCTCTCAGAAACTTTTAGCATTTCTCCTCTACTGTATTGATCAATTTATGGTATGTACATTGCTAGTGCAATAAATTTAGCCTTATACTACATCGTTGTTATGTTCCCCTACTCCAATCTCTTGAAAGCCTCCTGTATTTATTATCAATTTGATGGAGGTATGAACTAATATCTGAAAACAATAACAAACTCTATCCAATAAATCTCTTCATTCATCTTGCCCTAAAATTTCTTATGTTATTGTCATATCCACATCATATTTTCTTCTCCTTCAAATAGGAACACTGTAAGTGATACTTTTCGATTCTCTAGGCACTGCATGCTATCAAATATCTTCTCTACCCTTAACAACAAGTTCTCTATTTTTTGTTGCTTTACATCTCCCTTGAACAACGGGGGATTCAACTTATGGAATGTCTATAGATGTTTGTACCCTTCTGACTCCTTGTATCCAACTTGTCTGCTCTGAGCATCACTCGTAGCTTGTGCAAGTATGCTAGCTAGCAACATCAAACTATCAAACTCACTAGAGCTATTGCTATACGCTGTCCATTATCTACATATTAATCAGTAGGGTCCATCCCTCCATTAATAAAATCCTCTTTATGAATCAATAACATATAAACTTAACATATATACATATGCAGATCAACCAATTAAATGCATAGATAAAAATTTATACAACCAAAATTTTACCCTCCTCATAATCAATTTATACATCTCTTATTATATTTTAATTCTTCGAACAACTGTAAAGATACCAATTGTAACGCCTCAAAATTAAATTTGAAAGAATTATCTATTTTATTTTTTTAATTAATTAATCAAATCTTATCTATATAATGAAAGCAACTAATGATTATATACCTCAAACTATTTCAGCATATTCCCAAAATTAATACACAATAGCCATGAGATCGATACAAATATTACTCTATCATAAACTCATTAATACAAAAGAATAAAAGAAAATATAAATAAAATCGAAAGATAATTTGAGGATCTCTGTCAATCTTACTCCAGCTAGTCTTGATCCTTTCCCTGGCCTAAAATCATAAAAATCCATATAATAAGCATAAAAACTCAACAAGTAACCAAAAATTTATCACTACTTTCAGTGCAAGATAAAAGAATTAATATATATGTTCAGTTATAGTCAATATCAATCATCACTTAATACGAGTAATAAAAATCTCAAAATATCAATAATAAAATCAATATGATCAGAAAGTAAAAAGAGATATATCAAACTATAAGAAAAATTAATAAAGATGATGTGAGCCTCTGAAAAGCCACCGCTCAGCAGGGGCAGAATGTAAAGAGTATGATCGCACTATCCTGTAGGACAAAACGATCGCAGGTCTTTTCACTATTCACAAGCAGGTCAATGGGAGGGCAGATGAGATCATACATATGATTAACCATTGAGTATAGAGGTTTTCGCCTACACACCTCGATGGATAATAATTTGTATAACCTGTTCAAAGTCGCGCACGAGATTTCTCTCACCCGATACATCAACTCGAGTGAGGTTTATTTGATGTGGGATTCGATTTTCCACGAACGCAAGCCCCTGTGGTTAATTATATTTTAAGCCGGGGCCTACGAAAACTTAATTAAGGACTATATATTATTCTCTCAAATGAGATTAACATATAGGGAGAAGTCTAGGAACTTCATATTCAAAGAAAAAAAGTTCAATTTGGCTTAGTTAACATACACAACTCACATCATCATCTAAAAGGACTAAGGTGGTGAAAAAAAATTGGAGAAAAAATAATACTACACTATGAGCATACAAGAGAGAAAGATAGAGGTGGCACCATCCATGTGACACAGATCAAAACTTTATAAGTTGCCAAAAATGGAATGCATGCAAATAGCAACTATATTAACACATACAAGAGAGAAAGATAGAGGTGGCACCATCCATGTGACACAGATAGGTGGGATTTATAGCCTCTGAAGGATAGAGGACTTACCCGCTGATGAGGCATACTACGTACACCGATAGTAGTAGTCTTGAACCTTAAATATCTAGTGGGTTTAGTATTCTATACATATTGATTACACTCGTGTCCTAGCTAATGTATTATAGACTTATATCTTGTTTGAAAAGGAAAGCTAGCTAACCACTTAATCATATAAAATCCATATTATTTGGTCTGTATGAAAGATGGGTGGATGGTTGAGTCTTTGGAAATTAAGACCGACATCTAGAGAGGTTCTTAAGTGGCCTTGTACTTATGAAGGGAAATATGCTCCTAAAATTAATGCAATTAAATTTTGATTTTAGTTAATTTCTATTACAATGCATGCTAGTTAAAATATCAAAAATAAGGAATATATAAAATTTTAAAAAGCCTTATAAAATAATTTTTTAAAGACTAATCTTTTCTAGGTTTAGCATCTCATCCTCATAGGTCAAATTATCTGAGCTCTACCTACGGGCAGGGAAGTGTTTAAATAAGGAGAGAGTTAAATACATTAATATGCATGTGACCTAGGAAAACCTCTGGCTTATTCCCTGGGTTGTTATCTTTCTATATTATTTAAGTCTTAGAATTTTATTTTTAATTACGAGTAGAAAAAATTTTATCCCTAAAGAGCCTAGTAAAATCAGGCGCATACAAATGCAAGAAAGAAACCTATAAAAGCATACAATTTTTATTGCACAAGTAAAGTAAACACATCAATAAAATATCAACCAGAGTAAAAAGAATATCCAAAAGTCCATGATAAGTATCATATAATATACAACTCAGGGTCTATAGAAAAGTAATAGTGGTTAGGCTCCATCGACAACAACTTGGATTCTATTCCTATAGAAAAATGTAAGTCTTAAAAATAAGATATTTAATCTTGATCTTATTCTTCTGGTCCTTATGTGGATTGCCTTCCTTTAATTTTCTTATGGTTCGTCTTCAAAAGGGTACCCAAATGAAAAGAAATTTCATGTAAAGGAGTTTCTTTTCTCTTTGGATCTTTTTATTAAAATGCCTCATTTTTATAGATTTTCATAACTCTTTACTTCAAATACATTACATTAGAAAAAATATATTTAGATTCTCCTACATTGTTATCTTAAGCAATTAAAATAAAACATCACAATCAGTTATATGTGAAAATAAAGGTACTCATGTCAACTACACTTGATCATACCCTTATTTATTTGAGAGCTAAGCAATTGAAGCACCTGTAGTAGTTATATATATGATTTATTTATTTTAGTCCCCCTTTTCAGCACTGCATGAGCATGACCACATGTAGAAAATATTGTTAGTATCAAAATTACTCCTAATAATTTTATAGGTAATTTATCGCCCATCACATCATAAAGATAATACAATAATAAAAATCATTATCATAACAATCATCATAAAGAAAAGAAACAACTTGCATACATGCCAAATGCAAAGCGTCAAATTAAAAAAATAGAAAAAAAACATCGACCGAACATAGAGCTATAAGTCATGTCCTAACAAATAATTCTATGTGTGTGTAATTGGTTGTGTGGTATCGAGTATGTCCTATATTGGGCAATTAGTTTATATTGTTTGTGATGCAATTTATTGAAGGTTAAATGAGAGTTTTAATTAAAGTTTAAATATTAATATTTTGAGGTCAATTTCAATTGTTTTAGTTTGAGTTAGTGAATTTTAGAATGCCCAGGATCATCATATCCGCTAGGTCAAAGAGGTCCAAAGTTAACTTTTAGAAACAAGCTAAGTTCTAGGATCCTAGCATTTTTATTAAATAACCCTATGGGGAGTAATTAGACTTTGTGTTTGCTAGATTTAAAGCTTTCTACACAAAGTTATGATTTTAGAAGTTTTGGGCCTAATTATCGAACTATGGTTCACCGAGGAGTTGACTTTGTTTTATTTAAGTTGATTTCTTGGAT